GTGAATCAAATGGACCATTACGGCAAAGCTGGGATGGTCAATTTGGTAAAGAAAATCCGTTGGGCATCTTTCTTCGCCTTTAGACAATAATTCTGATGGCAAAAGAGCCAAACGGGACAGGCACAAAAAAAAAAAAGAAAAAAGAAAAAAAGAAAAAGAAAAAAAGATTAAATGTATAGAAATCCATTATTGTATATAGTAACTAATAAGTCTAATATACACCCTAGTAAGTTATAGTACTTTTTCCTTTGGGAAGGTACCATCTGTGCAGTCTGCAATTCTGTTGAAGAAAGATGTTGAATCTATTTAAATATTGTAGAAAAATAATTAATTTCTGTGCATTTGTTTTACATTGCATTAAATTAAAGTTGATTACATCAATTAAGGGCGGGGGTGGTTTCCTAATTTTTTCTGGGAGTTGGCAACCCTATTACTTAGGTTGCTTAATATTTCCACTAAGTACTCTTTAAAATACCAGATTAGGGAGGATGGTGTAGGTTTAAATTTATTAAATTGATCAGTGTTGCTGAACTATAAAATGTTTTGGGTGGAGTGTATTTTTTTCATACAGGTATAGCAGAATAGCTTCAGTGTCTTGTTTTTTTTAAACTTGAATATGAACTTATACAAAATACAGCAAGATATTTAAAAAAAGAAGTTTTATTGATTACAAAATATGCTGTATCGGTATTGGCAGATATCCACATTTATGATATTGGAATCGGTATCGGACATTAAAAAGTGGTATCGTGCCATCTCTAGTAAAGTTATTATGCTCAAATTTGTATGCATGTAATTTTTAATCTTAACTTTTGATTAAAAAAATGGAGATATGCATGCAAACGCATACTATTTTAGCAAAAACTCATTGTGCATGCCGGCTTATCAGTGTATATTAAACCAGATTGTGATTTTACAGTCAGTATATGTCACTGAGCTTACTGTAGGTTTCCCCATGAGGAGCAGTAAAATGATAAATGAATTATGCTAAAGGCATTAGTGTGTCCCAACTTTTTACCTGTAAAATCTGGATTGCACTTTTATTGCTTCCAGCCACGTCAGTCTAAATAAATCTTTATAGCCTACGGTTCGATCCTCTGAATGCAAAATGATGAATGCGCTGCTCACAGTGTGATGTAACGCATTAGATAACTGGAATCAATCTTTGGCTCACACTAAGTAAATAATGGTTCACAGACAATGAAATGGACATTCCTATTATCCCA